GCTCATGGCACCCGTCCTTAGCATCTATGACCCCGTCCTGCCTACGAGAGTGACTACGGACGCTTCCGGCTATGGCATTGGGGCAGTCTTGGAACAACACGACGGCGACGATTGGCACCCTGTGGAGTATTTCAGCCACAAAGTGCCTCCCATCAACTCGCTTGATGATGCAAGGAAGAAGGAGCTGCTCGCATTCGTCATGGCTCTCAAGCGATGGCGGCACTTCCTCCTTGGGCGTCGTAGGTTCACATGGGTTACGGATAACAATCCATTGACCTACTACAAGACACAGGATACGGTGACCAGTGCGATCGGCCGATGGATGTACTTCATCGACCAATTTGACTTCACACCGAAACATCTTCCCGGCCTCTCAAATCGCGCAGCAGATGCACTCTCGCGAAGACCCGATCTTTGCGCTATGACACATCATGCCTTCGCATTCGACGAGGAGCTTCAGCGACAGTCTGATCCGGACTTTGCCACGCTGTATCCACAGCTATCTTCGGATCACCCGCCGGCCAGCCACTATCGCATTGCCAACGGGTACTTGCTCCTCCACTCGAGAGGCAAGGAATTACTATGTGTCCCACGTGACCGCCGTCTTCGGACTCGCCTCCTCGGCGAGTATCATGATTCGCGACTCGCCGGCCATTTCGGAGTCAACCGCACTATTGCACGGCTTCGACAGCGATTCCGATGGCCCGATCTCGTTACCGATGTCACTCGGTATTGCGACTCTTGCGAAGTTTGCCGACGCAGCAAACCCCGCAACCGCAATCCCTACGGCGAGTTACGCCCGATGCCTATCCCACGGGAAGCTGGTCTCTCCATTGCCATGGACGTCACCGGTCCGTTTCCCCGCAACCGGCTCGGGCACAACGGCATCCTTACGGTTGTGGACCGATTGAGTAAGTACGCGCGTTTTCTCCGTTGCAAGTACTACTCCACGGCTCCCGAGCTGGCACGCCTCTTGCACACTGGTTGGATTTGTGGCCACGGTGTACCAGAAGACATAGTCAGCGACCGCGACACTCGTTTCATGCCAGCATTTTGGACTGCGCTCATGCAGGAGTCCGGCACGACGATAAAACCAAGTTCGGCTCGGCATCCACAGACAGACGGGCAGACGGAGCGGGCACATCAAACCGCTCAAATGATGCTTCATACGCTCATCCGTCCGGACCAGAAAGATTGGGTTGACCGCCTCCCCGACATCGAGTTCGCCTACAACACTTCGGTGCACCCGGCGATCGGCGTGACTCCATTCGAGTTGCACCACGGTGGACGGAAAGGCCGGATCTTCGCCGACCTTCTCCTCCCTCGACCAGCCAGCATTGACGCCGCTTGCTCCCTCGCTTCCGTTCGGAAGTACAGGGAATTGCTGACTCAGGCCCGCGCAAACATGCAAAAGGCTCAAGTCCGCATGCAGCAGCAAGCCAACAGGTGTCGCGTGCCATGTCCCATCCGCACCGGTGATCTGGTTTGGGTCTTCGTGGAAGAGTTTGCACTGGAACAGGATGTTTCACGCAAACTGCTTCCCAAGTGGTTTGGACAATGGTCTGTGCCAGCAGCCGCGGGCGATGAGCCCGATGACCCTTCATTTGTGATCAACATTCCAGAGCATCTGACGGTCCATCCAGTCTTCCACACCTCGAAGCTGGCAACATACACGCCAGCCAAGAGCGACGATTTTCCGGGCCGACGATCGCAGGACCCTCCTTCTATGGATGGTCATCAGGAAGTTGACCGCGTCATCACCGATCGCAAGTACGACAGCAAGCCGCGACAGTACAAAGTCACATTCAAAGCATGCGATCGCGACAACACTCGGTGGATTTCAGGCGCAGATTTGAAAGCATCC